AGCACCAGTTACCATGGAGACCTAGCTCCACGGCATCAGTTACCATGGAGACCTAGCTCCACAGCACTAACTACCCAGCATAGCGTTTTATAATTTGAAGTCCAGAGTCGGTGGCAGTTTCTACAGCTGACTTGATGCCTCCCAGATCTGAAACTGAGCCGTTTAAAGCTGAAACTCTTGAATCTGTGTTCGTCTGCACACAGGATGAAACTGACTTTAGGGTTTTATCTTCTGCAGGCCTCATTTTCCAAAAATTCTACCAGTTTTAAATACTTACAGGTTTTCAACACTCTGAGCTTTAGTTAGTTCATCAGTTAAATCTGTCCTCATCACAGTTCCCGTTCAGTCTCCTCACCTGTCCGTCCAGGCGTCAGGTGACCCGCCTCGTCCTCGCCGTCATCCTCGGTCCTGAGGCGGTTCTGTGTAGCCGGTTTGGGCCTCCACCTCCTCATGTCCTTACAGGTGGTGAACGGAGGAACTGCAGGACAACAAGGACACGAGTCAGACGGCAGCAGCTTCACCTGAAACCTGAACCTGAACCCACAGCTGACCCACCGTGACGTCGGCTCTCGTTCACTTTGCTGACCAGCAGGACGGCCTTCTGGTCCAAACCCATCCGGTCCTTGTTGGTACCGAACAACTTCTTCATGTACTTCTCTGAAAAATAGGACCAACAGCTGAAACTGGCGACTGACTGAAGATTCATGTTCAGCTCAAGAGTTAAACAGTTAAGAGAGAGTTCATTGAACGGTCTCTCAGACTGACCTGTAGCGGCACCGACGTCCTCGTCTGAGCTGCTCTCTGAACAACCAATCAGCTGCAGGCTGTAGGACAGGATGTCTTCAAACAGCTGGTTCCCAGTTAGAGTACAGTTCCTCATGTGCTGCCTGCAGAGGACAGACAGGAAACATCAGGACAGACAGGTAGACAGACATGTAGACAGACAGGTAGACAGACATGTGGACAGACAGGTGGACAGACAGGTGGACAGACAGGTAGACAGACATCAGGACAGACAGGTGGACAGACAGGTGTACAGACATCAGGACAGACAGGTGGACAGACAGGTCTGGACTCCAGGGTCTCACCAGCTGCAGCTGTCGTCGTTGCAGGTCCCCGTGAGGTCGAAGCGACAGAAGCTTCTGTTGGGTTCGATCACGTTGCTGAAGGTCACCGAGCTGAGCGACAGTTTCTCTTTGGTCCTGTAGTATGGACTGAACCTGAGGAGGACAGGTGAGTCAGTCACACCTGGACAGGTGAAGCTGTGAACATGACTGAGGTCATTTAATAACCAAACAGCTTCTTGTTCCACTCAAACAAACTTCATGTTGAGTCTGAACCTGCAGCTGCTCTGATTTATCGTCAGTCGGTTAGAAGCTCCACACAAACATTTAAAAAACGTTTCAGGAACCTACCTGTATGACCTGAACACCAGCAGAGGACTGTGATAGGCTCCAAAGGGAACAGGCTTCAGTTCCGAGCCGCCTGATTGGCTCGCTGCCGTTTCCACTTCCACAGGAAGCACCTGAATCACATCGAACACACTGAGCACGTGCAGTAGCGTCACCATGGAAAAGCTCAACAAACATCAGGTGAACGTTAGCGTAACATCAACAGAATCACATCCTTTTAAAGCGTTTCAGCCCCTGAACTGGAGCTGAAACGCTCTCCAGGATTCTTGTGGATTCTGTCTCCAGCTCAGTGTTATTTTGTTTGGGATGTATTGTGGCTGTGGAGCGGACCGACTCCCTCCCAGCAGAACCAGGTGAAGTTGCACTCACCTGTCCAGCGGAGGCGCTGTCCACGGCTACCCCCAGCTTGTGCAGCTCCCCCAGCAGCAGGTCTCCCAGCCGGGCCTGCTGCTGGTACCGCTGTCTCAGAGCGTCCAGGTCCAGACCCACAGACGTCTCAGCGGGAGGTTCAGAGCCGGGCGAGGTCTTGGTCAGCTTAGCGCCGCTGTCTTTGGGGGGGGCGGAGGTGTCCAGGTGTGGTTTGGTAAAGGAGCTGCTGGACTGGCGGAGGGAGGAGCGGCGGCCGCCTTTAGCTGCAGCGGAGGGTGCAGGTTCTGGTTCTTCGGGCTCAGCAGCGTCTTCGCTGTCTAGGGCCAATTTGTCCTGCGTGAGGTCGTGCAGGGACGGCTGCGGCACGGTGAAGGCGCCGGAGGGCGGCGGCTGCACTTGGCGGTCAGGTGGAGTCGAGGCTCGCGGCGGCTCCGCAGGAAGTCCTCGGTTCCTCAGCGCCTGAGCCTCCTTCAGCTTCTGGATCTTTAGGGCGTACTCGGACTCAAGCTGCTGCAGCCGCTGCTTCTGAGCGATCAGCTCCACGAAGTGACGTTCGGAACCACGAGGGGCGGAGTCTAACCGCTGCAGCTTACTGGGCTGCAAAGATTCAGAGTCAGAGATTCAGACTGAGCAGCAGCAGCAGCAGCCTACAGCTGAACATCACAGACTGATCAGGGATGTGGACCGTGCAGTCAGACGCCTGCTTTCACTGGAGCATCGCTCATCAGTTTCCACCAAACTGTGCCCACCCTGTCTGAGGAGCCCTGCCGGATCAAAGCTAAATTCATTTTGTGAAAAACTGATAAAAATTGATGAGAACAATTTTTTGATCATTGATTCTTAATTTCTACTTGACGGTTTTCATTATAATCTGACATTTCCAACAGTGACTCTTAGGGCCCGACCCATATGGATGTTAGAGTCTGATGCCGATATTTGGCAGAAAAAAATTCGAACCGATTAATTTAAAAAATATGTTAGAAATAAAATAGCTTCTGTTTTGGTCCCTTAATGCTACAACAACAAAGATCAATCAGAGAGAACTCTTGACCATATTGTGGCACACAGGCGAGGTCAATCACTAAGAGCTGCAGTTCAAAGCTGGAATAATTATTGGCTGTTATCAATCGGCATCTGAAGCTCTCCTTAAATATAGCAGCCAGACCGCCGCCACGCCAAAGACCTGAATCACAGGCAGAACGTTTGACTGTTTCACACTTGACAACAGAGAGGAGGCACCAGAACAGGCTCCGTCCATCTATCTATCTATCTATCCATCTATCTATCCACTTTGCGGCAGAGCGAGCGGTCTCACCGCTGGACGGTCGTCAGCGATCTCAGCTCTTCGTCATCTCCGTGTCCGAGTGTGACTCGTTCACAACCAGCAGCAGCACAAACGGAGCTGTTCGTGGTGTTGCTGAGGGTTTACAGCTTTTGTCCTGGACAACATTTGTCTTTTTACTAAATCAAACTGTACAAAATGAATGCAGGAGAGCGACTGTGACACTGAACAGCATTTCCTGTTTAATGACAAATTAAGAATATATCGGCACTTAATCGGCAAAACTCCGGCCCATGATGAGTGTTTTGAAAAGGGCTCTAATCAGCTCATGTAATCAGTCAGCTGATAAATCGGTCGGCCCTCGTTATGTCAATAAATAACCAACAGATGAACACATGAATACTGAGCGTGTGCAGCAGCGCCCCCTGCTGTCTGCAGCATAGGACGTGTACAGCTGCTGCTCTGGTACCGGTGAAGGCATTCTGTACTGTTACGGCTGAGAGCTTCGGTAAAGTCTCTGGACTGAAATGGCTCAACTACAAAATAAGACAAATGATGAGTTGATGTGAGTGTTGTCAGCGTTCGACAGCTTCATCCAAGAATAAACGTAGAAACTGATCCTAACTTCATGTCTCCTACTGAAGACAGCTGCAGTTAGTTTGAGAGGAATTCTTCTGAGACACGTAGAATAAAGTTATTCTAATTAAACAGAACTGTTCTTGATGAAAATCACACGTGATGCGTTCAAGAAGCTCAGACAAGTTGGAAATCCAACACCTCCAGTCTCTGATAGTGTATTAAGCGCCATGTGGGTTAAATTTGCATCAGCTCTGGTTCCTCTCACCTGGTTCTGGCTGGAGTCTGCTGGGCGCTTGGGTCCTCTGCCGGCAGCCAGCTGGGCCTGAAGCAGCTCCTGCTCCAATCGGACCGCCTGACTCTTCTTCATGGAGACTCTGTGTTCAACCCGATGGACCTGCAGAGGACGAGGACAGAAGATACGATCGCACTGGAAACTCTGGAGGGTTAGGCTGAAGGTTCACGCTCTGTTCATCAGTGTGTTCGGTGGAGGCGAGTTCTGCAAAAGATTCTGAAAATGTCGTGTTTCCAGACCCGAGAAATTCTCTGTTTTGAAATGAACAGAACTATCTCACGTGTGAAGCCGTTTTAAATGTTCAGTTTCTCCAGAAACTCCCACAGACGTAAAATGTGGTGAAAACAGTTTCACTTATTGGTCCCTGAAAATGGAAACGTGTCAAATGTGTAACCCTGGCTGGTGCTGATCCAGAAAGGTCCTGCCAGTGTCCATGTTTCTACTTCTAAAAATGTCCTCCAATAAGTCCGAGTTTTATTTCTGGAGGTTCTGAACCTGGAAATGGACTCTCAGGTTGTTTTGAGGGTGAAAAAAGAAAACAGACTAAATTGTCTACACTGAGCCAGAATCTTTTCCAGAACTTGGCTGTGGTTCTGTAGGACACCTGTCTGGGTGGTGGATGCTACCAGCAGATGCTCACCTGCTCCTGCAGCTTCTTCAGCAGCGTCCGGTTTGCGCTGACGATCTTCTCCGACGCCTGCAGCTGCTCCCTCAGTTTGGACACTTTGGCCTCTGCAGCTTTCAGAGACTCTGTTTTCTTCAGCTCCTGCTGCAGCAGATGTCTGAGAACAGCCTCGTCCCTCTGCAGCAGCTCCCTGTGGACGACACACGCTCATCAGAGGCTCCGTCGGCTTCAGGTGAGTCACCTGAGACCGCTGCATGCGTCTCCTGTAAGACAGTCATGAGCTGCTAAAGACCAGCGACTGCTGTCCGACTCTCACCTGTGCTTGCTGAGTCTCTGTTCGGCCTCGGCCAGCTTCAGCTCTGCAGCAGGTTTCAGCGATGAGTCGATCAGCGAATCAGAGGCAGCGGAGGAGGCGGAGCTCCGAGGAGGAAGACTGTGGTCCTTCATCTTCTGCTTCTCCCTGCTGAGAACCAGAGTTTAGACCCAAACCTCAGATCCTACCTGATCACAGGAGAGAACAGGCCGGACGGTACCTGGCGATCTCCTCTTTGAGCAGACGGTATTCGGCCTTCTTGGCTTCAGGTAAAGCTTCCGGAGTTCTGACCGGGTTGTTCTCCTTCTCACATCCTGATGCTGCTTTAGGCTTTGCTGCCTGAAAGCACCGAACACAGAAACCGTCAGCATGAACAAGAGACTTCTCAGAGTTCTGGAAACAGCGGCAGGAGACTCAATACCAGACTGCTGGTCGCTTCACGAGTTCCTGCAACATCTCAGATTGGTTCAAGCACCATAAATGTTTCTGCTGGGGCCAAAACCTCAGAACATCAGCAGATGAGTGGAACGTTTAACCAGACAAGGTTCCAGGTTTACATGTTCAGACTAAATGTTGATGTGGATCATTGGTAGGAACCAGAACCTGGAGTCCACAGGTTCTAGATGTTGGTTTAGATGTGCAGAGCTACAAGCTGCTTCATGCTGTTCGTGTTTAACTGACCAACTTTTCCTGTACAGATGATGGAAACCAACACAAGAACTTTATGTACCACCTTCATCATCACCACTGTCAACACTGGGAATTTTCAAGGACCAGTAATTGGAAACTGTGTCCTGCTGGATCCATCCAGTGGTTCTGATGGAACTGCTCTGTCTCAGTCACCACATTTCATGTCTGTTGGAGTTTAATGTCTGGAAATTCTGAACCTGGAAATGGACTCTCAGGGTTTTTTAAAAGTGAAAACAGAAAAATTCCAGGTCCACAAATATATAAAATGTCAGAAAAACCAGCCAGATATGAAACGGGACTGAGTTTTTAGATAACAAATAAGTGAACTGAAGAGACTCTGAGGCAGTGAAGGACCACTGAGCCTGCTGGAGACTTTGAGACTTTCTGAAGGTTCTGGGAATTAAAGGAGTTCTGTGTTTCTTTTCAGAGAATGTAAAGTCTAATATCTGAACCTTCTGCTAGTCTTACAGGTGAACATGTAGAGAACCCTGCTAACAGTTCTATTGTCCCACCTCCACGGTCCTCCTGGCCTCCTTGATCATGAACTCCAGCCCTCCGAACACCGTCTGCGTGGAGCTGCAGCCATCCAGGTCCGAGTCGCTGTCGTCCGAGTCGTTCAGGGAAACCACCACCGACTTGTGTCTGGGCAGCTGACAGACAGGTGACAGTTAACAGCTGATCCTGGAACCAAAGCTTCCTGCTCTGTAACACTGAGCTTCATCTTACCACCAGAGGAGCTCTGGCAGCGTGATGCCCTCTGCCGAACTTGTTGGTCCGAGACTGAGGCACCGTGTTCAGGCTGACGGTGCTCAGGTTTCCTCTGGTCGGCTGCTGGACGTCTGCAGGAGGCAGGCAACTGGGAGACGGAGGTCCGCTGGAGGTCTTCTGTAGAAGCAACACCAACATCAGCACAGGTACCGACAACACAGAGATCCCAGTATACCCAGTACACCCAGTATACCCAGATAACCCAGTAAACCCAGTACAACCAGAATACCCAAAGAACCCAGTAAACCCAGTGAACCCAGTATACCCAATGAACCCAGTACACCCAGTATACCCAAAGAACCCAGTACACCCAGAGAACCCAGTATACCCAGTACACCCAGAATACCCA